ACATACACGACATAAAAATTTCATAGCATCTTTCTCGCGGGACTTCACAGGACATTGTCAGACGTTGACCGGGAAAAGCGGGGAGAATTATTTTCCACAAAATCGATACACTTTTTTTTTAGTGTGTACAGTAGTCAAATCTAAGCAGATAGTTAAATTAAAGCCGTTTTAAAACCATGGGTATGTAGGCTACGTTGAAGTTTCAAACCCGATTTTGAGGCGATGTATGTCGTACTCGGTTACTTTTCCTTGTGGAGAGGTTCTGATGCACTCAGTGCCCGTACGTTGAAGGTGAATTATTACTCACCTTTCAAAACTGTGTCAATATACTATACTCGTGGTTTTAATATATAAAAAAAGGTTATTATGAAGTCCCCCCTCCTTTGTAATGAGAATTATTTTATTGAACGTTGCCTCTGAAGCAGGATTTTCTAATAAACAGTATCATAGTCCTATTATGTTACAAATCCGCCCTGGGCAGCAGACGACTGAGAATCGCAACGAGACTCTCTCGTGATTATCCCTCACTTCATTCTCTCCCCTCGCTTTAATGGCGTACTTAGCCACTTTCTTCTTGCCGCTAATACATTTTTTTTACCTTGACGACTATGATGGTTTCTCATTTGGTTTCAACTGACTCGGGGAATAAGATCAAGGGGGAAAAACAACAACCCCAACTAATAAATAATGAAGACAGTGGTCCCCTTGTGTGATGGTAACAGATTTAATTTTTGTTGTAAAAAAAAATCTTTTGTTTTGTATAATGTATAGGGTAAATAACTATACTAACTGGGATACATGGACAAGAAATAGTTTTATATCTCAGTTTTTAAGTTTTTATTTGGCACCTTTTGTTTATAAAATGTAGTTATTGTTGACAATTGTGCTAATTGGGATACATGGACAAGAAATAGTTTTATATCTCAGTCTTTAAGTTTTTATTTGGCACCTTTTGTTTATAAAATTTAGTCATTGTTGATCATTGTATTAACTAGGATAGGATACATGGACAAGAAATAGTTTTATATCTCAGTCTATTAGTTTTTATTAGGCACCTTTCGTTTATAATTGAAGGCTTAAAAAACTTCGATTCACTTTAATAACGAATGGTAAAAATCTTGAAATGAGTCCTATACGAGTTTTTATTGGACAAGAGTGCAATTAACTAATTCTCAAGATGCACGTGCCACTTGTTTGGTGTAAAAATGTGTGATCCAGGTGATAAATATTTATACCGCCAGAATGATAATAATTGATCATAGCTTGAGGAAGATTATATAAGAATAACATAGTGCGGAAGTTGCATTCAGACAAGGAAATTGATATTCATCGACCAGAAATATTCCCGAAACTGACATATTTTAATGTTTACTTACTGTTTCTGTTACCGGTAATTTTAAGTTTAGATTCTATGTACACTATTTTATTTGTGTACATGTTTAAAGTTCTATTGTACCACTGGAACAAATGTGGTCGTATTCACAGTATCTCACTCTTGAATGAAAGAGTTCTTTATAAAACTCATTGTTACAGTGTACCACAGTTCACATACAGTACACTTAACAGTTTAAGACGCCGTAAACGAGAAAGTCTTAATACGAATTCATCGCAAGAGTAGTAACATTGTCTCTTTAATTAAGTCCATTTACATCGAAGAGATGAATTTTTCATGCCATGTTTTGACTTGACTTGAAACCTGATTGCATAGGGGAAAGGTAATGCGTTGTTTCAAGGGATTTGTTTGCTTTATCAACACACGCCTCTTGCGACATCGGCATTTTGTTTTGGTTTATATATGACTCGCAGACATTGATTTCTTGGTTCCGTTTAATGGCCAGTCTAAAGTGTGGGTTTTTTTTTCATTTTTTTTTAAGAGGCGCCACAGGGCCAGAGACTAAGGCTGGACACGTCTGGCCGTGCACGTAATGTGCTAGAAGATATTGCACAATTCGATTACTGGGCGCGCGTGTGGCGGTGTAAGCACACGCGCTCTAGCTAGGGATATCCCGGGCTGTTGTGTTCAGTTTTAAACATCTGCTAACTACTAGTGGGCGTGTTGATTTAATTATTGCTCGCCGGTTAAAATTTAGTTGTACGTTTTTTTTTTTAAATTTAATTGTACATTTCTGAAAGGGCTTGTAAAATTACGATAGTTAATACAATTTGGAAAAAAAATTTGGTTCTCCTAGTAAAATCTGCGCGCGTGTGTTACACCAGGGGTGGGAGTATCACGTTCCCTCTCCTTGCTCAGTCACGACCATTTCTGCTGTCCCCTTGGGGTCAAGGGGAGGCCGGGGTTAAAGGAAGAGCATTGACCTTCTTTAAGATGGAGTACAACCGCAAATTCAACAGTGGGGGTTGATCGCCATCATTCCCCCCTTCCCTGCTAAGAGGAGCAAGCGTCTGCGACCCCGGTTAACTAATAGTTAACTGCTGAATAGCGCTGTCAAGTACTGTGTTGTATCCTACTCCTCCCCTACCCCTTTTTAAAAACTTTAAAAAACCCGATTAGATTTTTTTCTTGTAATGTATTCTTTAATTTTTTTCTACTTAAACCTGTACAAAGCAACATTTATGCACTAAATCATATCTCTCCTCTCCCCTCTCACCCCGCCCGCCACAATTTCTTTCACCTAATTACCCCAATTAAAATGTAAACTTAGCGTTTGCTTTGATTATGTTTCAGGCCCAGCGTAAACATTAGAGTTTATTCTAAGAAACCAAAGTTAATAAATCTGATACTTCGGACTTACGGTTAGGCTTGAGTTAACCAATTAAAAAGAAAATTTGGCTTATCTAATTCATCATTTCCGCCCCCTCTTTCATCGTTTGGACGAGGTCCAAATGGAGCACAGGTATGAGCTCACATCCTAACCTGGTACAAGTCCAGGTTTATGAAAGGAATAATCAACGCTACGTCATATAGGGTATATATTTATATCGTGGACACAGCTGGGTCCATGGATATATGCTAATTTTTTTAGCTTTTGTAACTGTGCTTGCTTGGTTTACAGTGCTTAAACTCATAAAAAGGCTTTTTTATACTGCTTAAAGAGTGATAATTAGAGCAAATAAAGTTTTATAACTTTTTGTAATGACAGTAGTAAGTTTACCTCCAGAGTAAACACTTGTTAAGAGACAATTAAAAAAATTTGAAGTCCTACAGGTTAACTGTAAAGTAAAGAATTGTCTTTAGACCTAGCTATCCATGGGGCAGATGAAGTAGAGTTCGTGTTTCTTGACTTCGACATATGAAGGGAGGGTGTGGTTAGCACTTTGCCCAGCCGCCTTTACTTTCCCTAACTTGAGTTAAGGTACCCATCAGAGCTGTGTCGACTCAGGGATGTTCAGTTGACTTGAACCCGGATTCGAACTCGAGACTTTCGGGTTTACAGCTTAGCGCTCTACCGCTTAGGCCACGCCGTCCAAGGCTTACTTTAAGATTATACCTTACCATTTTAATAGCTACCATCATTACACTATAAACACTAGATATACGTGTGTAATAATAGTAGTGACCATCTATTCACAGTGCCTAATTGTATCCAAGTGTGAGCCTATCTTTATACCTAACAGGAGTATATTTTATTGACTGCTTTTCTTTCTTCTTTTTATTTCTGAACAAGCTTTCACTGAACTGAAATATCATTTCATAAAAAGTTCCATACAGGATTTTTTTCCTCATTACTTTAATGGTTAACATGGTACAGCACAGCTGAGTGAATAAATTGATCATAGCCTTAGTCTGGTTAAGTTGTACAGTAAAAGTAAGGAAACAGTTTGAGAGCTTGCCAGTCCAGGGGTAATCAATTTGTCTCTGAGTCATAATGTTCTGCTCATCCTTTCAAAGATTGTACAGCACATCAGGTTTTATTTTTCTACTGCAACTGATTTTTATTTTACTTTTGGAAGTTGACAATGTTATTACAGTTTATCTCATTTACATAGTGTGTACCTTATCAGGAAAATGGTAATCTAGTGAGTGGATTCCTTGAAAAGCTTTCAAAGCAACATTATTTTGCTTTTGAAATGATCATATTTGTTAATAAAAATAACTCATTGATGTTTTTACTGACTTGATATGATGTTTTAAATAATAGTGATAAACAAGAGCTTAAATGACATTTTACCGTGGAGAATTTATCTTTTAACTAACTATGGTAATATTTTCATAATTAGTTTTTAAAAACATGACGTCTGAGTCACAGTTGGGTCAGTTTACACTGGTTTTTATTTAGCTCTTGTCTCATCTACCATTGTTCTGTTGTAATGTGGGAAATTTATTAATGAGCTGTGGTTAAAAAAGGCAACGTGATCATTTAACCCAAGTTCAAGACAGCTTAAATAGAAATATTTACTGGAACTAAAATAGAAATATTTACTGGGGGGGGGGGGGGGGGGGGGGGAGAGAAGAGAAAGCTATTAAGACAAGGGGAATAACTCTTTGTCTCCAGGCTTAGATAGTCTATCCTTTTACATGTAAAAGAAAAGTTATGGTGTTTTATTTTTTAATTATTTCCTTATAAAAACCTGTGCTTGTTTCTTCTTTGGCTTTGTTTATAGCTTTATGAAAATTTGATTTACAAATAAACCTTTCCATTGTTTTATTACCATCATATTTTTACTTCATTTCTTTATTTTTATTAATGTAGTATTTTATTCATTGTTATATATTAATGATGATTAAACTTATTGATTGAATAGGGTTGAGTGTAGACATAAAATAGTTATTGTGACGTGGTCTAATAAAAAAACAACCCAGTGACTTCACTTTTTCTTTATTTATTATTTAAAATTCCCTTCTTGTCATGCAAGTTTTATTTTTATAAATTATAAGACCCAGGATTCATGGATAAGAGATCACAAGCTTTTACTTCAAAACCAAACCTCCCTACATTTATGAAACATTTACAGTTTTATTTCATCTATTGTTTTAACTAATTTATTTCACTTTTATGAATTTTTTATCAATTAAATTTTTTCTTCTTCTGCTGTTTCAGGAAGGAAGTCCGTTCATTGTGTGCATGACATATGCATTTCAGACCCCTGAAAAGCTTTGTTTTATTCTTGATCTTATGAATGGTGGTGACCTCCATTACCACCTGTCCCAGCATGGTGTGTTCACAGAAAAAGAAGTCCGGTTTTATGCTGCTGAGGTCATCTTGGGGCTGGAACATATGCACAGTCGCTATGTTGTATACAGAGATTTAAAGGTAAATACATGCTGGCTTCTGCTGGGCCCAGCTTCTTTTCTCATCAATCTACACTCAAATAGTAGAACGAGCAACACATTCCTATAGCCGCTAGTCTTCTGGCATAGATGTTAGTTCAAAATTTGAGGTAATAAAAGTTTTCAAAAATCAGTAAGTAGCTAGATCTATAAACAAACAAGTAGGTTGGTTTTTTTGTTTTGTTTTTTAATCAGAAAATAAAATTTTAAAAGATGTTAATAATAATGGTTTGTGAAAATCCCAAGTGAGAAACCATTTTCCTGGGTTCTTAAATATATCGATTCCTAATTATCCAAACATTTTAAATTATTCAAACATTCAATAATTTTAATTATTATAAAAATCAAATATTCTTAATTATTCCAAAAATAAATTGCTCGTTTACACTTGGTGCTATTTTGATCAATGAAGCTGTGCTACTAGTATACACTGCTAGCAATTTGTATTAATTAATACTTTTCCAACACAGCGTATAAAAGTTCAAAGTTCATGTGTTGTAGAATGCACTGATTTACTTCTGTTTGTCATGGAGCAGTTGGTAGGGAAGAACGTCATAGACTTACATTATAGATTTTTTTTTTTTAATGTGAGCTGGTTAATTATAAATAATAGCAGTGCCCTTTCACACATACACTGCGTACTCAGGAAGTGCTCTGAACTCAAGGAGGATTGCAGGGGAGGGAGGGGAGGAGATACAGAACATTTTTCAGAGTGACAAATTGTAGGGTTTTCTGTTCAGATGCTCTGGCTTAATGAAGTAAAAAAAAAAAGCGCTACTAAATTAAGTGGTAAGATGGTATTTTAGCTGCTTCCTTATTGACTTTTTTTTTTATAGAATGGCGCTAGCTAATTATGTAGTAAGATTGGAGTGGTATTCTTGGTAAAGTAGGTCTTCAGGAAAATCTATTACGCTTAATCAAACATGCTGACTTAAACAGCTTAAAATACACTGTTTGTTTCGTTCAGTTATTACTATAACCTCAGGCATATAATTTTTTGTTCATAGGAAATAGTTAACCAAGAAAACTTTGTTTACTGTTCAGTTTATTATAATAGAATATGTATCTGCTGTGTGTAACATGCACAGACATCTTGAACCCTGGCTTTAGAAATGTAAAAGATGAAACTAAGAACAGATAGGTAACTAAATATTTCAGACGTTTTTGAAAACAATGAATTTTTGGATCCATAAGCTGTTTTAATGAGTAAGCTAAGATAAACAAACAGTTGAAATGTCAGCTATTTTTATTCCTTAAATGATGTATGAAGCTATAAACAATCTAACTAGGATGTTTTTAGAGGTATTGCTTTTGTATTTTTATTAACATAGCCATCTTAAAATAAGTATGTAGTTGTTTTTTAAATTAAGCCTTGTCTATTTTTGTCTATTTTCCTGTACTGGGAAGAAAAAGTTGACTCAGCATTTTACAATATATTGTTATAGTAGCTTTTAGCTCTTGGTTTTGAATAACGCACAGGCTGATCTAATACTGCATGCCTTTGTTTGGAGTATAGTGGCTTAGTATTTGAGAATAAACAACTTTATCTTTGAGAGCTTCTTCTTTTGGGAACATCACATCAGCACATTAGGTTTCCCACAATGCAATTTGAGTATCCTCACCACTTGTTTAAAGGCTTTGCGAAAGAAAGCAGGTTGATATTTTTTGAAGTTTGTATTCATGTAACCACATAATGGCTAATTTATTTCAAGATTTAAGACAAAACATTATTCTTCATTATAGATTGTAGTTTTTAAGAGCTTCCAAAGAAACTCTTAATTTAAAATAGATTTTACTAATTAAGACTTAAGAAGGCTTAAAATATCTTTATTTAATAGCTTTTTAATAAGCATTGAATTATTATAGCCTATAGCATATCTTATTTCATAAGCAGGAAGACAATTTATTAAGTAAATAGCTTATTATGGTTTTAATTATTTCCTAATTCGGCATCTCTGTATGTTTAAGTGTACTGTATAGTAATAGAGATACTTCAGGTTCCACCCAGGGGTTATTTAGTATGTGTGCTTCAAGTGTCTGTGTGCTCGTGAATATTCTTTCTTTCTCTTCAGCTACACTAGATACTTATAAACTTTTATTAGGTATGTAAGTGTATAAGTGTGTGTGTGTGGGGGGGGGGGGGGGAGGGGCTGTTAGTGTATTAGTTCCACACTAGTCTAGTCACCACAGTTCTTTAGGTCAGAATTTACCTTGATTAGCTAGTTGCTTCCCCTGTCATACACCAGTGGAAGTCTAGACATAATGTTCACTGCCAGCCAATTAGGGTTAGCAGTACTCTTGAACCCAGCTGTTCTGTCTACTTGAAATTACATTACAGAAACATTTTTTTTATTTTATAAAGTTGAATAATTCTTTTCCATCATGGTGTTGTTAGTATGCTTCTTGCACACAGAGCATATCCCATACTTGAACCAAATAAAATCATCAAACAACTTCCTTGTATTATTTATATTTAAGTGATACATTGTAGCATGCCGAGGAGAAAAACTAAATATTTTATTTCTCTCACACTGATATTTAAAAAAATTAAGTATGTTGTAGCTTCATTACATTACAGTGTACGGGTATTTTGTGTAATACTGATTTATATTTTCTATTATTGTTTATCATGTAACACTGATACTTAACAATTCCGCAACACGTGCATCAGTGAAGTGTTTGTATCCTGTTTTATCTACTAGATGCCTCAGCTCAGGGATTACAAAACCATTCTATAGGCCTCTATTCATTCAGATGGACCAGCTTATGGGACCTATCTTTTTCCCTTCCCACCTACTGTTGATCAAATGTACAGAACTTAGTCACTTCCTCTGATGTGAAAATCTATAATGTTGCAATTGTTTAACTTCTTTGTGATGCAGTTGTCAAATGTTCCTGGTGGAAAGCACAAGAGCATTTAAAACATTTCTGTTAAAGCCTGCATTGATTTTTCAATTTTCTATGATAAATGAGTGTGTATTCAGAAGTGGCAACAAAAGCACAGAATGATTGCTTGTTTTTGTCCCATTGGATTTCACTTTATTGCATATTCTGTCTCTTCATGGGCATAAAGGAATTAAATATAAAGCAAGCGCCCATGTAACTAATAGAAAAATAGTGAGCTTTTCAAGCAGTGAGGTTTTTTTTAAAAAAAAATATTTACTTGATACTCTTGGTAGTGTTTGAAATATGTTTGCATCTGATGTTTAGGTAATACATCAGGAATTTAAGAACCCTTGATGTCTCTTTTGCAGTGGGCATCATTTGCATATTTATGGTTTAATCTATGCTTTTTTACCCTGGTCGCTGATTTAATAAGAAAAAAGAGCTGAGTTGTATCTATGTATTGTGAGGGGATCCATGTTCTCAGATAATACACTGCTGTTTCTCAGACAGTTTTTATTTTATTCATGCAGAATTCAAAACAGGCTCTATATGACTTACATTGGCACTTTCTGAAAATTACCATTTTAAAACACAAGAACACCAATTTAGTTAAATATTCTGAGGAGAGCGGGTTTAAGGTTGGGCACATTAGATTTATTAGATCGAGAAGTTTCAGGTTTTCATCATTCTCTTTTCTAGTCTACTCGACCTTGTGCCAGTTGGTTTGTGTAGCAGTCATTAGTTGGTGGAACAGCTAGCCCTACTCACATCCTTTCTCTTCTCTAGTCCACCCAACCTTGTGTCAATTGGTTTGTGTAGCAGTCATTAGTTGGTGGAACATCTAGCCCTACTCACATCCTTTCTCTTCTCTAGTCCACCCAACCTTGTGTCAGTTGGTTTGTGTAGCAGTCATTAGTTGGTGGAACAGCTAGCCCTACTCACATCCTTTCTCTTCTCACAGAGCTTGTTAAAATACTCCCTAAGGTCTATCTAGGTTGACATTTGACATATTTGCTGCTTATATTAGAAGCTTGTTAAGTTGTTCAAGTTTTGTAACCATCATTTTATTTTTAAAAATCATTTCCCTTGGGAAAATGATTATGTTAGCTCTATTGGCAAGTTATTTATTTTTGTGGCAGCCAATCACATCCCACAATTGCGAGGCTTATTTTTGTATATAATTTTAATAGAATAATTCTTTCTTGCTTTCATTTTATGTTTTCAACAACTCTAAGTATTTAGTGATTCATAATGCAGCACTTCATTTGATGCGCAAAATTTTTGTTTTAAAAATGCAACTACGATGAAAACAGAATTTATTTTAAACTTATTTTGTTTCAGCCTGCGAACATTTTACTGGATGAAAATGGACATGTCCGTATATCTGACCTTGGTTTGGCTTGTGATTTCTCAAAGAAAAAACCCCATGCAAGTGTGTAAGTGTCAAATTTAATAAATCATGCTGATGAATGGTTTTGATCTTGGCTCAAGGCTTAGTTAAAATAGTTCTTAGACTGATTGAATTTAAGTTTTCCATTGACTATCATCACCTCCTTTACTTATCAGGAATGTCAAGTTATCATTTTTATGAATACCAGAATGTTTGATCTACTCTGTTGGTTTCTCTTCCAGTGGTACACATGGTTACATGGCTCCTGAAGTTCTACAGAAAGGCACAGCTTATGACTCAAGTGCTGACTGGTTTTCATTTGGTTGTATGCTTTACAAGTTGCTCAAAGGGTATTCTTTGGTTGATATATGTCTTGTTAAATTAAACTTGTATCTCTTAAAAAAAAAAAAAATTCTTATTTATTTTAGTATTGAAGTATGTATGTATTTTAATTTTTATGTTGTGAGAAAATTCTAATACGATGCTTTATTAAATTTGAATGTGTTCTTGTGTGTGTGTTCACTTGCAGGCACAGCCCATTCAGACAACACAAGACCAAAGATAAGCATGAGATAGATCGCATGACTATGACAATGGTAGGTCCATCGGTACGACAATTTATTGAATTTTCACAATTTTGTGTCGCACGCTTGGTGGTTCAATATGTTTTTTTTAATACTAATATTGTTATATTTGTTTTGGTTACGTATTTTACTGCAACAGCTGATGTTCAAGTCAAATGATATGGAAAAGCCTTAGCAGAGCCTCTTGTCAAATAAATACTAAATAGATACTTTTGTAAGAAACATAAAATAGTTGAATTTAAAAGATTAGTTGGTTGTTCATGTAGTAATATTATTAAAAAGTAATTGAACAAAAAACAAATGAACGAGGGCTAGAAATATCTTATACTATTGAACTGAAAACTAAAAGAAACTAAAAGCACCAAATAGTAGTTGGACTAGAAACTGAAAGTTTTCAGTAAAAAGCATTGAAATTAAAGCTGAAATTTAACAACCTAAGATAAATGTGTATCAGTCAAAAGAAAAAAAAAAACTCATGAAAGATATCTTCAATTTGTTTTGATTTACACTTTTTGCAATGCGGTTTCTCTTTTACATGAATTTTTTTTTAAACATTAGTGTATTCCAGTTACTTAAAAACCTGATTTTTTTAGGGCTGATATTTTAAGTGGACCCAAAGTCAGATTTAAACACCAAACGTTTCTTGTTCTACAGTATAGTTTTGTAAAAAAATAAATTGTAATTTACTCAGCTATTTTAAAAGCCACGACACAATCAAGATGTGCAGCCTGTAAACCATTTTTTTAACTTGGTATAAGCTTGGTCCACTAGTTCCCATCACGTTTACACCAATTTTGTAATTGACGTTTTATTCAAATTATTTTTCTTCGTGTTTGGTTTATTTACTCTTTTCACTTCAAGTTTATGGCAAAAGGCTTATCAAGTGGTCCTCAAGGATACTTGTTCTAAAAGCTTATGGTCACTAAACCTGTAAAATCTTATTTGATCTTTTTAAAAGTCAGCTGTTGGGGTATGAATACAGAAGTTAAACAGGGCTTACCTGTTTACGTTTTTTTTTCTCTCCAATTTAACGTCCCTGTTGGCTGGAACAAAGAACCCCAGTTGCTGTCCCAGATAAATTTAAAGTCAAAATTTGACACTTGTTATTAAAAAAATATTTGGATTGAAATCTGACTTTTAAAAAAAAAAATGGAGTTAGTGACCATTTGCAGTTGATTATCGGCTCTGCAAAGGCATGACCATAACACATTTGACCACTTTGTTCCAGTCATCAGGGTCAATTAAAAATGAATTAAACTTCAATGTAAAGGTAAGTCTTGACACGTTGAAACAAGCACACAGCAAGACATTTCTTTTACCCAGCTGTTGCTGGGGAATTTTTTTACATGCTCAACTTTTAAGTTTGATTTCTACTTATTGTGTTATTAATTGTATGATTAGGAAGCAAGCATGAATGTGCAAAACTTGAGAGTTGGATATACTTTTACTGTATTTTATCTTGATTTATTACATTTTAGTATGTTTTTTTTCTTTACTTCAGTTTAATTTTTATTCATGTTACTTTTGGTTTTAAACGTTTAAATTGTTGTTTAATATTGGCAGCTGTTATTAGTTACTTATAGTCTACTTTATTTAATAGCTAGCAAGTTAATTACTTAATTATGCAATTGTTTACAGAAAACACTTAATTTTTTAAAGCTATCAAGTTTTTAATGATCAAAAATTTTTCTTTAAAATTTTCAATGAAGTGTTTTAAAAATAAAGTTATATGCAATTTAAAAAAGTAAAATATAGTCATTTCCTAATGGTAACCTGTATGAGTGCTTAGTTATTATAAAAAAATATTTCCAATTTATCTGCTCTTTAAACAATTAAAATTAACACCAAGCCTCTGCACTTTGTAACTTTAACGGCAGCAATAAAAGCACTGGTTAACTGAGACAGTCACTGGTTCAATTTGTCAGTCTAGAAAAGTAGAGGCTAATGTTCTTCCCTTTACTTGCAGAATGTTGATTTACCTGAAACAATGTCCATAGAAATGAAAACTCTTCTTGAAGGGCTGCTTCGGCGAGATGTAGACGACAGAGTCGGCTGTCGTGGAAGGGGGTATGTATGTGATTCTCATCAGTAAGCACGTAATGGTGAGGGAATAAAGGAAAATGGTCAGTCACTGCAGGCACCGGTGGAGAGTCAGTGAGGATCCAGACTGGCAAGAGTGGGTACATTCTCCATCCTTACAAGTGACAGTCGTGAGGACTTAACTTTTATCTCAACTGAAAGAAACCAGAAGCTTTTTTAAAAAAATTAAACTGTATGTAGTGTACGTTAAGTTGATGTTTTGTTGAAGTTTTTAGAATGTACTCATTAAAATGTTTCACTTGTTTGTTATTCTGTTTCTTTAGAGCTCAGGAATTGAAGGAACATCCATTTTTTAAAGGTATTGATTGGGTCCAGGTGTATCTGCAAAAATATTCCCCACCATTGATTCCGCCCAAGGGAGAAGTAAATGCGGCCGACGCTTTTGATATTGGCTCATTTGACGAAGAAGATACTAAAGGAATTAAGGTCTTTACTTTTTTTAGTTATATTTCAAGAAAAGAAGCTTTTCGTTTAATTATATTTTATGGAATCAGGTAGTAATATTTGTTACTTTTCCGTATATGTTCTTAAAATATTTTAAAATTATCCTCAAACATTTTTTGTTGTCTTTAATGAAAAAATGACTGACTGTATTGCTTTTAATCTTGTAGTTGACAGAGGCAGACCAGGACTTGTATAAAAACTTCCCACTGGTTGTGTCTGAGCGTTGGCAACACGAAGTGGCAGAAACAGTATTTGAAGCCATTAACACAGACACAGATAAAGTTGAACAGAAACGCAAACAGAAACCTAAAGGAGATGAAGTAGATCTGGGTAAAAAAATAAACTTAAGTTCACCTAGAAACTGAATGAAAGACAACTGTCTGGTTGTGTTGTGTGGTATCTGCTTTATATTAGTATCTATTGAAATCTTCATAACATTCCGGATTTTAAAAAAATAATTTTTTTTTGTTTTATGTTTGTAGTTACAACCTAGAGTTTTTAAGTCTTTTTTGTTTTAAATTTTGCTCATAAACATTTTTACTAAAACATTGTAACGCATTTAACTTTTCAGCAGGGCCTACTGACTGTATTGTGGAAGGTGAAGTTTTAAAACTGGGTGGGCCTTTCAATCAGTCGTGGGCTAAGAAACATCTAAAATTATACCCCAACAGACTTGAATTTTACCATAAAGCCAGAGATGGGACTGTACCCAAAGGCAAAGCTGTAGAAGTAGGTTACTGCTTGTCTGTTTCACATAGTTGGAAATCAATATATCATTTAAAGTCCTGTTATTTAAATAACAGCATTTTAATAAGGAAGCCTCAACCACTTCAGTAAAATTCTTCAATTTTTTTAATAATCATATCATTAAATAAAAAAAAAATTATAGTTGATGTATCTAAATAAAACAAAACACTTGGCAAAATATATTTAGTTATGTTTTGAATCTTGTAGTTTTATACTGATGTAATGAAATGTGTATACTTTCAGTTATACTCAATGCTAGACATAAAAGAAGTTGTTCCTGAATTTCAAAAGTACCAAAAGATGGAGAACTGTATCGTCCTCAATCTTAAGACAGACAAAATAATCATCACTTCACCTGTGAGTTTTTCCTTCTTTTCAAACTAAATATGTAGAACAGGTGTCCCCTTTACTAAAGCAGCTACCCTTTGTTTTACTGTTTTATTTGATGTGGTAGTAGATTCTCTATCTACATTTTCAATAAACATCATTTTTTAATGTTGTGAGAGTAACCCTCCCCCCTTCCTACCCATCCCTCAACTGTTTTGGTATTTGAACAAATAAGTGCTCATGTATTGAATTATCTTCCCCAGGACAAGGTGTTAATCAATCAGTGGAAGGATGAAATTATTCAGGGTTTTAACCTGTCAACACAGATTGTAGCCACAATGAACAAAAAAGCTAGCAAACTTTATGGCTCAGAACTTCCAGGATCACCAAGCACAGAGAGCCTTCGGAATCCATTGGAGCATCGCAACAGCAATGGCAATGGCAGTAGTTAGCTCCGTATTAGAGTTGTATTTGTATTGCATTGATTATTCATACTTACTGGTATTTTTCATCCTGTTCTTTTCACATTGTTTTTTTTTTTTTAAAAAGAATTACTGAAATTATTTTTCCCCCCTAAAATTTTAAAGTTAAACTTTGTATTCATTTGTTGGATAGTTAATTATGTGATAGTTTAAAAAAATTTGTATTCATAGTTTGAGTTGGATGTTAATTAGTCGAACTTAAGGTTTTTTGTTTTTTTTTCAAAAGAATGGAAATAATTTTAAATTCTTTATGTAAATGTCTCAAATAGAGTGTGAAGACATTGTATGATTAGAGTAACGTACTGCTATTTATATCTTCCATTGCAATATTTAACTGGCTTTTTATTGCTCCTCTTTAGCGACTAAATTAGGGTTTAGTTAAGATCACAGAATTATCAGCTTAAGCTTATTTGAAGAGTGAAAGGATTTTATTATTAAATGGGAAGGGATTGAAGCAGAAAATAATTTTATTTCAGTTTTTAAAAATATCAGTTCTACTGAGGAGGAATGTAAATTAGTATATGGAATCTGCATACAGTCTAGTATAATCTCCTTTTATAACTGTCTGAAAAGTATCAAAGTACAGCGAAAAGATAACATATTTGATTGATGCTTGGTTTTTTTTAGTTTCCATAAAATGGGGCTTTTCAAATGAATGTAAAATCAGATTTTTAACACAGCTTATGAAATGTTTCTACAGGAAAGTCAAGCTGTTGCAACTGCTGCTGTCGTGGTCGTTGTTGCTGCTGTTGTGTCATATCATAGTATTGTGAAGCTTGGGGGAACATTTTTTATAAAATTATATTTGTAATCATATGAAGGGATTATTTTTTAAAAAGGTTTGTTTCATGTGATCTGTCCCTACAATACTTTTACATTTTCAAAAAAATTTGGATCTTCCAAAACAATTTAGGCTATTTTAAGCTGTATTGAATTTATTTTACTTTTCAGAAATAAGCAAATTTTGAAAGTTCGTACACCATCTGAATTCCCCCTTGCTTTAAATGAACGCTTTAAACTTTACACAAAAAACTCAAGCAATGGCTCTGTAAAATATTGGTTTTGTCTTCATAACTTTAAGTGGATGAAAAATAACCAGCTGCCCCATGAGTTACTTACCTTTACCCAATTTTGTTTACAATGATCACGTTAACCTTTTTGAATGGGAGAATATACCAGCAGGAGCTCTTTTATGCTGTCTAGATGAAGATCCTAAGGTGACAATTTTAAAGCTTTGTTGGCAGTTCAACCATTTGGTTTTCTCAGTTGATTGTTTTTCAGATGTTTTTTTTTATTGTTTTAATTTTGTTTTAAAGAAAAAAGTACAATTTAAGGGGTGTAAATGAACTGAATCAAAGTTGTAGGCTGTGATTTATTGGGTTTTCTATACACTCTTACAAGAAATATTGTTTTGAAATAAGTCAAAAATGTCTTGGTGACTACTAGCTAACTAAATTATAGAAATCCATTGGATGTTGATACCACCCACCCGATACAACTTATGCATTTCTTTTTTTACCAGAACAATGTTCCTATTGTATTATTTAGAAACTTACACAGATATGTTTATCTAACGAAAGAACACTTACATCATGGGGTTATCCTCTCACTACTTTTAATTTTGTTGTTATAGGTAACTAGCACAAATTAAATAACTGGGGAGCAGTTTTATTTTTACTGAGCATAAATACTCTCACTACTCCATCCCACTTACTGTGTTATTCTTGTTTTTACATGGATGAATGGTGATATATTCATGGATCACTTACACTTTACTGATGGGTTGATTCCCATTTCCATGCTGACAAAGTTTGTTTATTGTAGATCTCTACTTGCCAAATTATTTTTTTTCAAAACAAAAACGTATGTTTTTTAAATAAGGAAACAACAATGACTGAGCTGTTGTACATCATAGTTGGTCCCATTGGTTTTAAGTAGTTAAAAAATTATGTTAAACAAACTGGCAGTTTAATATTCCCAACTCTTGGGTGGTTGCTCTTTAACAAACTTGAGGGTTGGATGTTTGCAAGGTTTTTTGTTTTGTTGACAAGTTTCGTCACACTGAATTATATATAGTTTGCTTTGTTTGTTTACTTGTGGAAATTCGAAATTTGTGTTGAGTTCATTAGCACAGTATATATGGAAATGGAGATGATATATTTTGAAAACAATATATATTGTTCTAATGCTAGGTGATACGTGCAATATTTTAATTATTATTTATAGGTGTCATGTAAAGAGAATCTATCATTCATTGATGACCTATTTTAGATTTTGACACTAAAAAATTTCATTTGTATAAAATAGTTTACAATGAATTATTATTTAGATACCATCTTATAAAACTCACATTTCTAGGATTATTATATATTAGACATTGTAACATTGAATAAAAATATCCCAATTAAAAATTCTCCCACTGATTTATTATAAGTCATCCATAAGTCATTAATAGCTGTTATTTTTAAGTCGCTTGCTGTTTAGATAATTTGTTAGTGTTTGCCAATACTTGCACTGTATTGATTGTCTCCCTTCAATTTCAGGTATAATTATTTTTCATGTTCAACACTTTCCCTCTACATTCGCTGCAGGCAGTGATTTTTTAACCTACCAACCTTGGCCCAAAATTAAATGCAATTTTATGGAATATTGAATTCACAGAATTTTTGCAAAAAAAGTGTATACATTGAAAGAATAAGTAAATGTGTTGCTATAGTTAGTTATTTGAAGTATTGTATTAAAACAGAAACTTATTTTTGTGTTCAAAGTATGCTGTTTTTTTCCTGATAAAAAAGAAAGGAAGGAAATGCCCAAGTCTGTTGGTACTGTATTCTAAACAAAGCCAAAAAATATAACCCCATTACCAAAAAAAAATATGTTATCAACAGTAATCTTAATTTAGTCTCATTCTTTATCACTTACCTTATTGTGATTATCCCATATTGTACAGTATTTTAATACTTCTCATATCTTAGATGTTCTTCTGTATGGTGGTAAGCCCTGGCTTAGATGGCAGTATACCCTACTACATAGTCCTAGCTTTTCACTACAACTTGTATTTTTACAATAAAACAAAAAATTGTACAAGATTCATTGCATTTAACGCATTAAGTATTTTAAAAATATATTTACCAGTGGATGTTATTATAATTACCAGTGTAAAAGACAGTAACTAAACGTTTAGTATATTTACTGTTTTGAACCTCAAGAGTATTTTTTTGTATAAAACAATAGCAATTTCAAACAGATATCACAGAGTGTATGAATGTTTTTTTAAAGTTTCTTCCCTTTGCTGACCATCATACCAGGTTTTTTTTTTTTAAAAACTATATAATAACTAGCAGCTTGTCTTATATACATACCCCTTGCAACAGCCCCCTTCTACACTTTCTCTGTAGTTTAATATTGTATTTAGTGTTGCAAATTACAAATACTGCTCTCTGCATTGTTGGGGTGCAGTGTTGTTACGACTACCACTATTTATTTATATAAATATATATATATACATATTGTAAAAATAACATTACTATTCACTTTTATTATTTTTCATCACTGCTTGCACATGTATACAAATGACTCTTTCTGTGGGCCTTCCATTAGGAGCATAGTTAAATATAAATATTAGTGTTCAACTTGGACATGTGATTAAGCACCATGACATGTCGTGTATGAGCCACTTGCCGCCCAAGTCCCAGATAATAAACCATCAGATGTGATTATTTTTTTTCTCTCCCTCCCCTCTCCCTCAAAAATCACTGTCAGCCCTGGATATCATATTTCTATATTGTTATGTGTGTGTTATATGAATGGGCTACTGTGTTATTTCTATATTTTTATGTGTGCTTGTCATATGAATGGATTACTGTGTTAGCCTGCACATGTAAAAAAAAAAATGTATGAATTCAGCATGGGGTTGAAGGGGGACACCTGTTCTTGTGAAACTACAACAACTGTATAAAGTAACTCTTTCATTGTTATTATCCAATTAAAAATCATGTTAAAATAACATGCTGTCTAAGTTGTATGCGTTTTATTTTTCAAATCACCTCCCCCTCACTCTGTTGAGTGTGTTAGCACTCTGATGTTCATTTTCACACACATTTCTAGATGTGATATCTTGCAAAGTTTAATGTTAACTTTTTTTTTTTTTTATTATTCAGCAGATTTGAAATTTCATCTTGTCATACATGAATACAATTGATGTTTGATAATTTTAACTTTAATTTCAAAACTAATTTATTTGTTTGTCTATTAAATGCTCACTCCTTTAACTTGTGATTAATAAATGCTAGGTTAAATTGCCACAACTTTTGTTTTGATAGTGTCTACTGTTATGTGTATTTTTAAAGTCAGAAACTCTGACCCTTAGTCTTTATATCTTTTTTTTTAATTTAAAAAAAAACAAACCACCTTTTTGAAATCATTTTAATAATTATTTGATGAGTGTTAAATTATCTGTTTTTTTTTAAATATCCATAACAGCAAATTGTAATTTTAAAATGCTATTTTTATAAACGAAAGAAATATCTTAAAACATGTATGTTTTAGGTATTTTATAAAATCTCAATGCAGAGCTGTTCCACTCAGTGTATTTATGTACATTAACCGCCTAAGACTGGTTGTCTTGGGATTGATGAAGAAGTACCTCAAACTCGGAGGTGCTGAAAACTATGTGATGCTTACCTATTTCTTTATAAATCACTTTTCAATTTCAATAGTTTAGATTGAGTAGCTTCCATTTTTTAACTGTTTTTGTAGTCTTGGGTGTGATGCAAGTGAGGTTTTTCCCTATTTGATGGTATATTTGCTAGAGCTCATCACTTCCTTATGCATCTGTTTCATTCTGTACCGTTGTCTGACACTAAACATTTTGTTTCGGTAAATGCTCCCAGTATACTTTGTATCTCCCCAGTATGTAAATAGAAGCCCATAGACCACATACTTTTTGTTTTGCAATATAAAATTATCAAGTTCGTGACAGTGGACTTAGAAAGAAATAACTTCTCATGTATTAACTTTTTTCTTCACTTTTACTGTTTTAGATTTAAGTTAACACTATGTAATAGCTTTTTTTTTGAAGTAAAATACTTTAAACCTTATTTATACAAAATTATATGTATATAAAATTATACAGCTTTTAATTAAACAGTGTTCTGTCAACAAAAACTATTTCAAAACAAATTAATAAAGCTGTTTCCTTATAATAAAGAGGTAGACCTACTGTGCTGGATAGAAGCAGTCTTTGTAGAATAGTGTCAAGCTGATAAGTTTGTACGAATAATTTCCCCACCCCTTCATTTTTTTGTTGTTCTCATTTAAGAATCTCATCTACATTATCCCTCCTGTCAAGAACAAGCAAACATGATCTGACTGGTTGCAATAGTTCCCAATTTCTTGGGCTAAAGAAATAAGGATATATATATATATATATATATATATATATATATATATATATATATATATATATATATATATATATATATATATATATATATATATATATATATATATATATATAATACTGATATAGTTAGAGAAGTATAAAAGAAAAATTTCAATGAAATAGTAGTTTGACATTTACTTTTCCCTCAAAGATGGTCTTAAGCAGGGTTTTTGTTTTACATCGCAATCAGGTGCAGTTGACTGGTTTTTTTCTCTTTCTGTTTGACTCGACTCTCAATGTTGTCCACCAGTCTAGACAATAGACAAAATAAAATGCAGTTACAGATGGATTGTTTTATTAAGTACTAAACCAGATGCATGCTTCGACATAATACATAATTTGTTTTTGTTTATCAATGAACGCATAGTTCAGTGGGTCTTTAACAAAAGTTCTGACTAGTAAGCAATGTGCCAAGTGTGTATTAAACTTAAGTAATGTCATCAGCAGTTGCTGTTTATTAACAATACATTCAGTATGTGCTGTTTAATAATACATTCAGTATGTGCTTTTTAATAATACATTCAGTAATTGCTGTTTAACACTACATTTTGTGGTTGTTCAAATAACTCATTAGCATATGAGTTATGTTTAGTTGGTAGGTTAAATAATGACTTAGGAATTAAACCATTATGTTGTTTTTTTTTTTGCTGGCATGGTTATGAAATCCACAGTAAACATCAGGGACACAGACACTCTGCTATTAAAAGATTGTAACACTTTTAAAACACTGAACTCATTGCATGTTATATTATGTTAAACTAAAAACTGATATTACTGTTCTTAGATATCTTCATATAGAGTATATTTCAAGAGTGTTTTAGTTTATTTTTTTATTTCAAGGAATTTCCAATTCCGAAATTGAATTTTTAAGAGCTTAAATAATAGGATTGCATTTTCATAAAATTTGTCATATTAAATAAACATTTAAGTGTTTAAAAAAATGTATGTAATATCACATAAGGTTCTAGCTTTGGGTAAGTTTTTAAAAGATGTACCATTTTACCAAAAGTATTTTGTTTATTCAATACATGTATAACTTGCATGATATAGTGACAATGTTGACAAAAGGACAAAGAACGCAGTAATTTGTAGTTTTAAATTGAATTAAGTGATATGCTTTTGCCTGATTTTACAGAAATGAACAACAATTAATGTTAGAAACCTTGAAAAGCTAATTGTATACTGGTTTTGCACTGTCAATTTAAGAAAAATTTAAAACGACCTTTCACTGTTGTAGACTACCTTAATCAGCAACTTTTCTGAGGGTACTTACAGTTACACTGACAAAATATTTAAAACACCCAGCATCTCTTGCAAAATTGAGCTTACTTCATTATAATAGATTATATTCACGCAATTATAATATCTCTTTCATATATATTACTAAACTTATTTTATCATACTCAGAGAATTAAAGTTAATGATATTTCTTTAATCTATTGCTCTGGGTATTATGAATTGTAGTAATCAATGGCGGACTTGTTTCTTTCATTACTGTGTCTGTAACATCAAATTGTATCGTGGCTGGGGTCTAATCCTGCTGTTTAGCTAGAGGGTTTCATCTAGTATTATTTTAGAACTTTGTTTTCCCAGTTTGACATATTATAATTGATTTTTTTGTAAAAAAAAAAAAATAATTACATAAAATATAAGATTATTATTAAAAAGTAACTTTTAATTAATCTTGGAACTGTTGATGTAAAAATATTGTTAATTTTTTTTTTTAATTGCAAAGTCAAAGGTGTAATGAATTTTACGTTAAAAAGATCTTTTTAAAATATCTTAAACTATTCAACATGTTTTTCTCTATTCTTAGAACAATGCTTGTCTTACATGTTTCTTTGTACAAATTCACTTGAATAACAAGTGGACTATTTGTATCAAACCATTTTTTTTTCTTCATTTGTTTAAGTGTGGTATAAGGTCTTGGATTGTCTCTACCATATTTTTGGTGGTTGTTCATCATGTTGCCCATGCGAATGGTTCAGTATCTGGCCGGTCCTGTGTGTGAGTGCTTGTTGGGTGTGTCCAATGATGAGCTAGTACAGCTTAGCTGTATAAAATCTTTACTTGTGAGAGAAAGTCTGGATATTATAATTTTTTTTTTAATTACCAGAATAAATGATTTTTCTCAAATACTTGATGTTTTTAGTGTTGATGATATGGTCTGTCTCTTCAGTGTTTGGTTTGGATTGTGGGTTATTGCTTTGTGTTTCTGTGTGCTTAAGCTGTTTTTATGCACGTTGGTGCCACAGTGATTGAATGAGATCAATCATGATTGAATGAGATCTATCACACGCTAAGGCTGAGAAGGTGAGTAAACTTTAACTAGAATTTTTTTTTGGTTTAAACCCCGTTTTTCCCTTGATAAATTAAAAAATATGCAGTTTCCATTTTGTAAGGGGAAGTAACCAAGCCATTTGAATCTAAGAATATTTTTTTTTAAATAACAAGGTAGCTTTCAAATTATAAATATATAGGCCTATATATATATATATATATATATATATATATATATATATATATATATATATATACATATATGTGTACATTTATATATAAACACAAATGCGGTTAATAAATGCTGTAATTTATTTTGAGAGATCTGTGATTTTGGTGTTAAAACCCCACCCACAACACAACTTGTATATACGCACACACACACACATACACACTCATATAATATATATATATAATACATACACATATATATATATATATATATATATATATATATATATATATATATATATATATATATGTATGTATCTAAGTGCGCCTTATATGACACACACCGTTTCCTTACTGTCGAAAACCTGTCTCTGCCACTGCTTATATCGAATTACCTATGATGAAGCATTAATTATTCCTCCTCTTTAAATCGCTTCAGCAATCTGCATCGTCCATAAAGTGCACGGGGTCATCATGTTAACATATAAATCACTACAATCAAAGGCATAAGATCGATGCCGAAAATTTTTCTTCGTAAACGTTTTTTTTTACTTTGTTCGTTCATCGGCTTGGTTTGTTTCTTTTGAATTATTTAAAAAAAATTAATGAACACACCAATAAAATAAATCCATTAAAGAAACAAGTCTATAACGCTACCGTGCTGTTAACATAGACCGAACTCTTTATACAAATCGATTTTTGTGTTGAGATTTTATAATCCAGCCCTATTCGTTTGTTTAACGGGGCAAGGGAGGTAACTCCGCTCTACGGGGTTGTCGTTATTGTTTGCGTCCTTGGATACGGGGCCCTTTCACGAACGTTACCAAAGGCGGGGGTGAAATAAAAACACGAACGAAAGAACATGAAGCGAGCCGAGTAGAGCCGAGCAAGATTAGAAACGTTTCAGTCCGAGGATACGAACGCTCGTCTGACGAGATAGACTGTGTTGGAATAGGGAAAGAAAAAGGGGAGGTGTAGTGCAAAGAGCCGTAATTTATTTATTTTATATCAACTTTTTCGACTTATGGCACACGGTTTAAGTCTTGAGCTGCATTGATTTTCTGTGACATTGTGTAAGTAGATAGTTCTTAATTACAACAGAACAACAGAATAGCTACTAAATAAGTATAGTAAATATTATATTAACCCATTTAATAAATGTAACCCATTGGTTTATATAGACGTATATAAATAAGTGAATATATCATATATGCCTATATGCATATATATAATTATATATATATATATATATATATATATATATATATATATATATATATATATATATATATATATATATATATATATATATATATAGGCCTATATTCAATATACAAGTCAGTGTTTCTTCCAGAATTTTTGCTCCGAGTGTGCACTTGTAATTTCCAGGGGGGGGGGGGGGGGGGGGGGGGACGACACTGTCAAAAGAATATATTTTCTATATAAATTCCCCCCCCCCCCCCCCCCTAAGAGATGCCTGGAAAAAACTCTGATACAAGCATATATAGCCTACATATATATAAGCATATATATATAAATATATATATATATATATATATATATATGTGTG